CCCTGGAACTGGAATTATGGACTGTTGTTACCCACCATGTGGGTGCTGGGAATTGAATCCAGGTTCTCTGTAAGAGCAGTCAGTGCTGCTAACCATTAAGCCATCTCTCCAGCTCCCTAGTTTTTTGTTTTCTGAGACAAGGTATTGCTGTAGCCCCAAATGATCTGGTACTCACTAAGTAGAACAGGCTGGCCTCAGTTTCACAGAGATATGCCTGCCTCTGCCTATTTCTGGGATTAAAGGCATGTGCCACCACACCGGCTTGTTAGACCTTTTTTAACTTAAAATTTTATTGCAGTTTTTTTTTCTTAAAAACAAAAACAAAAAACATGTTATATTTCTCTCTTTAACAACTAGAGGGCACTAGTGAAATACTTAATTCTCTCTCTCTCTCTCTCTCTCTCTCTCTCTCTCTCTCTCCCTCCCTCCCTCCTTCCCTCCCTCCCTCCTCTGTCTCCCTACATGCATCCAGAAGAATATTTGTAGATTTTATTTTATTTTGTTTTTAAAAATTAACAATCTGATAAAATTCAGATAAAAACTCCTAATTATTTCTTAAGCTTTTAAGTTCACTTTATGAATTTTACTGTTTATGCTTGTGTGTGTATGTGTGTGCTCCTGGAAGCCTGAATTGACACTGGGTGTGGAGTGTGTCTTCCTTAATCATTCTCCACCTTATTTACTGAGGCAGGGACTCTCAGTGGAACCCAGAGCTCGCTGATTTGGCTACTTTAGTGAGCCAGCTTGTCCTGGGGTTCCCCTGTTTTTGTTTCCTGAGTACTTAGATTACAGGTGACATTTAAGCTGGAAAAATTTATAAAATTAGTTTTATTGTACAGGATGCACAAACAGTTTGATACAATTTTCAGACTTAGATAGCTGTTCTTAAATATTTGAAATTGACTATTAATTTGACATATTCCATTTCCTTTTAAGGACTGTAGTTGCTTGATAAACTCCCACAAACCCTTAGTAATTTTTCTAAAATAAAAAGATTTGGACTATAAATATGATAAATACCTTTAACTATTGCAAGAATGTTTATAAACAAGAAAAATTGCTACTTAAGATTTTAAGTTTAGGAGGCTGGAGGGATGGCTCTGCAGTTAAGAGCATTGGCTACTCTTTCAGAGGACCCTGGTTTGGTTCCCAGCACCCACGTGCCGGCTAGCAACCACCTATAACTCCAGTTCCAGGGGATCTGACACCCTCTTATGACCTCTGTGGGCATTGCATGACACAAGTGCACTTACATACATGGAGGCAGTACACTCATACATATTAAATAATAAAAAATAAAATATTTTTATAAGAGTTTAAGCTTAAACTTACTTGTGAAATTTACATATTTAAACTTGGAATTATAAGGCTTAATATAATTCTGTTAAATACTCTTAAGTATTGAAAATACTGCAGTTTAAAGGCCACATCTGTGCAACTCCTTTATCACAAGAACTTTGATACTTTTTCATTTATTAATTATTTATCGAGCACATGTCATATGCTTATCCTTCTAGCTGCTGAGGACACAATTCTGAACAATAGGATGCTCCTCATTCTTATGGAGAGTATAGTGTAGTGAATGTGGCAGAGTGAAAGATAATAACAGACCCTAAAAGTCTGCTATAGAGCAGGCAAATCTGCTGTGGTTCACAGGGTTAAGGCACTTGCTGCCAAGTCTCATGACTTGACTTCAATCCCCAGAACTCACAAGGTAGGAGAGAATGATTTCTACAAACTGTCCTCTGACTTCAACATGTGTGATGTGGAATGCAAGTGCACTCCCCCCTTACAAATAAATGAAATGAAAAAATTTAAAGTCTTTTATAAGCCAAAAGTAGTAGGCATGCCTTTAATCCCTAGGGAGGTAGAGGCAGGTAGACCTCTGTGAGATGGAGGCCAGCCTGGTCTACATAGCCAGTTCCGGGCCAGCTGGGAAGACAGAGAGACCCTGTTTCGAAAACAGTTCGTTATACGGCATAATAAACGAATTGCACCCAGTTCCATTAGCCTGCTTTCACTTGGGGTTCTAGATATTGTCATGTATCCACGTTACGTTACAGGTGCAGGGCTATGAAGCAGGCATAGCTCTCTAATACCCTAAACCAGAATCAACTAAAACCTACATAGAGAGGGAAAGCCTGAAACCTTTGTGCATTTCTGTATTAATCGGTAATTGCCTCTGCAAAATGCCATCCTGTTAACAGAAGAAGGCCTAAGTAACTCCCTTCAAACTGTTAATGATATGGGGGTACATGATGGTTTGCAAAGACCAACACAGTCTGTGTGGAGACATGGACACTGGGTAATTGACAAAGCACCCTCACCAGATAATTGCGTTATTCGTGCACGTCTGTCTTGCACAGTAATTCAAAATTGTGTCTTAGAAAAATGTCAAATTATTATACATGAAGAGCTTGTAGAAGTCCTAATCCCAGTGTTTAATTCTTGTGCACCAAGAGCTCACTTTATCACTCCCTGATTACCATGGTTGCTACGTTGTAGTTAAACGCTCTTTAGATATAACAGCTTGTCTTTATATTGAGTTGTTACATTTGTGTGGCTGGTAAGGCTGTTCTGTCTGAGTACCTGTTCTTCCCTGATTGAGGAGAAAGTGGGAAGACCAGGGAGCCTCCTCATACTAAGAGCAGCCAGTGCTCTTTTTTTTTAAATATATATTTTAAAATATTTATTTTTATTTTATGTGTATGAGTGTACTGCATGTATGTGAGTGCACCTGTGTCATGCAATGCTGTGGAGGTCAGAAGAGGGCTTCGGATTCCCCTAGAACTGGAGTTAAGGATGGTTTGTAGCCTCCATGTGGGTGCTGGGAATCAAACCCGGGTCCTCTGCAAGAGCAGCCAGTGCTCTTAACCACTGAACCATCTCTCCAGCCTTCTCCAACCATTAAACTTTTTCTAAGTTTAAAGTTTGGCTTTTTCTTGTAAAGCCTGTAAAAGTAGGATTGTTGGGTTAAAGAAACTATAAATTTGTAATTTTGCTAAGTATTGTCAAATTCTTTCTCTCTCTCAACATAACCCAGCTATGGAGACTGGCAACCTTTATCAGTGCATATTGTGAAGCTTACAGACTTTTGTCAATATGACAAAGAATTGTATGTTAGTGTAGTCATTGTGAAGTTATAAGTCAAGCATCTTTTCATATATTTGAAGGTCATTTGTTTTTGCATATATGTGTGTGTTTGTGTGATCTATTCATGCTCTCATTTATTTTTCTCTTGGATTAGTTCTTGTTCATTTCATTTCTTAGTAGTTCTTTATATATTTGATAGAGAACTATGTTCCTTTTACACGAGTGGGAAACTTTTTCCAAGTTGTCATTAATGTTTCTGTCTCTGTCTCTGCATGTATTTGTGTGTATTGAGCACTGAATCTGGGGCCTTCCACATACTAGGACAGCATCTGCCACTGAACTACATCCCCAACTTCATTTTTCTTTTGATTTTACCTCTGGAAGTGGTATTAGTGGTTGGTGTGTGTGTGTGTGTGTGTGTGTCTGTCTGTCTGTTTTGTCATCCAGAAGTTCATTTTATTAATGATTTGTCACTGTGTAGACGTCAGTAGGAACATGGCTCTTTTCTAAGAATCTGGTCACTGAGCTTTGCTGCCAGGAGGCCGTCAGAGTTCCTAATGTGGCCCATTCTTAGTGAAATTTTGTTCATATTAAACTTCTCGTCTATGAATTCTTCATATAGATACATAAATGTATGCAATTTTACACTAATTGTTCTCACTTTGCAGTTCATCACGTGTATTCTTGTGGTACTGTTGGTTTCTTTCCTAATTTGGTTCTGTTTATTCATTTAGTCTATGGACTTGCCGACAGCAGAGGCCTCTCTTTGCCTCAGACAGACATCGGTTTCCACTACAGTGTCCAACAGAGCACTGGGCAGGTACATGGGTTCAGTAAGAACTCAGTAGAGGGGCTGGGGCAATGGTTCAGTGAGTGCACTGCTTCCCACGCAAGCACACACACCAGAATTTGGATCCCCGGCACTGATGTAAATGCTGAGTGGGCCTGGTGGCCTTCCGGTAATCCCAGCATTCGGCAGGGGATCCTCAGAGCAAGCTGAATTGGTGAGCTCTGGGTTGAAGTGAGAGACACCAGTTCAATATACACAGTGGAGAGTGATTGAGAAAGGCATTTGATGTCAGTCTCTGATCTTCATGTGCACGTGCATGGCCCCACACTTGCCAACATGCACACACTCATGAACAGCATACATACATACACATGCAAAATCCAATAATGAGTGGCCCCTTGTCCTAGTGAGCCTATGGAGGAATTTCAAATGTCACAATCTCCCTTTCCTTTACAGCCCAGAAGGCCATTCTGAAACAAATCTCAAGTTATGCCACTTTTGTGGGTCCAGGCCATAGAACAGCTGGAGATGGAGTAACAAAGGTTGATCGATTCCCAAGCTTTCCTTTACTCCTTTTAAGACCCCTAAGAACATGCCCCTCCTTCGAGAGATGGAGAAATGACCCGCCAGCAACATCCCTCATTGGCCTTTTCTGTTCTAAGCTCAGAGTTCGAAGGAAGAGAAACAGAAACAAGCCAGGAATTCAAGCAGCTACTGGTTTTAATAGGGATGAGGAATCAGGGAAGGGGTTGGGTGGAAAGGTGGTGAACAACGAATCTCCTGTCTCTGCCGTGGCAGAGTCAATGTGTAGAGAGGAGAGAAAACCTGAACGCGCCTTTCTCTGGCATGGGAACAGCAGGGAGGTGCTTGGAGAGGAGGAGAGTGTGAATTCTGAATTCTACCTCTTGCTATAGGGAATCAAAAAGGAGACAAAGGACACAGAAAGAGGCATTAACTTTCAATGCCTGCACAGGTTGAACAATACTGCACTTGTGTGTTTATGTACAGAGGAGAGCAGGCACTGGGTTGGCAGCAAGCAAAGATCAGAGGCGTACAATGGAACAGCCTGTGAAAATGGACCCAGTCCTTGAAACCCAAGGGCACGCTCTCAGTCTCCCTCACCCCCTACTCTGAACTTCTGTCTTGCTGTGCTGCCCTCCCATCAGACCTCTGTTGCTATTTCTTTCGCCCAATCTGCGCCATCAGGTGAGCGTTGGCAGCTGCCTTGGCTCTCAAATTCTTGGCCTTTGCGATGTTGAAGAGGATGTTCATGATGTTGGTGGGAACGTCAAGGGACAGAGTGAACTTGGTTCGCCGGTCACTTTTGGTCTTGTCTGGGTACAGCTTGCCCTTGGGTTCTGTTTGGGAGGAGTATTTGTATTTCATGCTTCCAGACCCACTCCCACCCCCAGACCCAGAGAAAGTCCTTTTGTTCTTGTCTTGCTTTTCTTCCTCCTCCTTTCCCTCTCCAGAAGATGGGTCTTGACTGGGCAGGTAGTGGAAGTTCCTCTTGCTCAGGAAGGGCACATCCTCCAGCCTGTTGTTCTTGACCTCAGATAAGGCCATATTGAGGCAACTGAAGATGGGTCCAGCTTTGTAGAACTGATGGGAAAGGCTAGTTGGCGGACCCCCAAGGAGCAGCAGCAGAAGCAGTAGGAAATAAGCTGGCATCAGCATCTCTCCCTGTAGGAGAAGAGAGCGGTGTGGGAACAGGTGTGATAGGGGCTTTGCACTGAGGACATGGAGTAAGGTCCAACAGGGCACTGCTAACGCTCTTCTGAGAGGGTTCTCAAAGCTGGTCCCAGACCAGCAACATAAGCATCACCTGCGAATTTTTAGAACTGCAATTTTTAGGTCTTTCCCTAGAGCTAGCAAATCAAAGCAGAGCCCAGAAATCTCTGTTTTAACACGTCTTTCTGATATGTTTGAATATGCGATATCTCCTGTAGGCTTTGGGATCTGAATACTTAGTCTTTAAATGGTGTTACTATTTGGGAAAGTTCTGAAAATTTAGGAGTTGGAGGAATTAGGTCACTAGGGGGGAATCCCCGGGGGCAAATCATCCCTGGTTGCTAACCGTCTTGCTGTTTAATCCTCTCCATCACGATGTGAACTGTTCTGCTCTGACCCACCCTGCCACCATGGACTGAAACTTTAGAAACTGTGAGCTGAAACAAACCCTTTTTTCCTTAAGTCGTCACTGTCAGGCATTTGGGTCACAGCAGTGCAGAAATAATACACCTTCAGGTAGTGCTGATTATCTCTATAAATTCATTGCCAGACTTGATATGTATGTTTTGTTTAATTGGCTTTTTCAGATAGCCCCTGGCTCTAAAATGAGTAACAAATATGTTAAGTAAGCATTTGTCAGCCTACCTGGTTTGGGTTTATAAGTGGGATTTAATTCCTTCACCATTAGCAAGGTGGGCCAAATATGTTCTTGTTGCTTAGCAGCTGTGGTACAGTGTCAGTATACGTATGTATATAGTCAGATCCTTAAGACTGGCCCCCTGCTAAGCTATCCTCGTTTTTTTAGAACAGTCAGGTTTGTAACTTGGTTTTGTTTTAGACTTGAAGGCATGTTTGACCTGTGACCCACTGAGGACAGCAATGAAAGTGGTCCAAAATAAAACTGTAAACTTACTTAAGACATTAGGAGACATTTGGGTGTGATTTTTGCTGTAACTTGATGACAGTATTGTATTGCAGTATCAAGGAATTGGACATGCCTGCTGGAGTTTATGAGACCAAAGTCAGTTTGATTCCTGTGAGATCAAATACTTCCTAGGGAGCTCCTAAATTCTCTAGTCATGGGACCTCAATCTTCATATATACTTGTGTGCCTGGCTGCCAATCAGAGTAAGTGAAGGAGATGGCCTGGAACCCATGCAGGGATGTTTCTTTCTGAAGACAGGCTCTTCCTGGAAAGGCCTATGCTTTCTTCAGATAACTGTTAAATGGTGTTTCTAAATGCTGCATGGACTGTGCGATTGTTGAGGGTAAGAAGGAGATGCTGAGAGTTAAGAGCGGTTTAGAGTCTAGAGGGATCATCTAGACTGGATGTGAAAGAGCAAAACAACCCCTAAGCATTAGTGAGTGACACACATGGTCACGAAAACATCTAGATCAATGGCCCTTCTGTAACTCACACTGCCCAGGCCTTAAGCCACCCCGTGTAGTTGCTGGTCCACTGATCAACAGCATCACAGAAGACTTTAAATTTTCTTTTTCAGTGAGAAAGAAGGGCTTGTGCTGAACCATCCACAACTTTGTACCTGCTTTGCTTTGCAAGAGCACACAGTGCCCAAAGCTCCTCAAAATCAGGATCACCTGTGATTGCTGTTCTTTAGAAGAGTTGGAAAGGGACAAGAACTGGCCTCCTATGCACTAGAGCTGAGCCCACTTGCACCCTACTCCCCTTTACCTGGTTCTGGGAACACACATCTAAATCTACCCATATGCGTGTACACATGTGCATGCGTACACACATATACACGTATACAGACCCCTATATAGACATGTACATTCTTTCCAACTCAGAAATAAGGATATGAAGTTAACTTGCATCATCATAGCCCTTCATCAGGCATGAGAGAAAAACCGAGGTGGCAATGTCATGTCTCAGCTAAATCTCTCCTTGAATAGCCACAGCTGCAATTCTGACTACCTTGATGTACTCATATCCAACATGTGTGTCTTCAAGCTGCGTCATCTGAATGGTCTGCACCCTGAGATATAGAGAGTGGGCAATTCTTTTCTTAGAAGAGCTTTCAAAAAATTCAAGAAAAACTGTCTAAGTAAATAAACACAGGGATTCTCACGCACTCAGCAATGAGGCTGGTTGTTTTGTTATCTGAAGTTACAGTGCAGAGTAATGGTAGGAAGTCAGGCAATCAGAGGCCGGGTTCTAATCTCATCTTACCTTGGCCGTGTCCTTTCCCAGAAGAGGAGTGGGAACAGACCCACACACTTCCAAACTTTCATAGGGGGTAAACAGCTCTTACTCTTCAGGCTGGTCCAGAACTCACTGTAGCCTATTGTGGCTTCAGACTCCTGGCAACAATCATACTTCAGACTCCCAAGTTTGGGGATAACAGGTGCAAAGCACCACACTCAGCTCAGAACTGTATTTAACCCCAAAGCTGCTTCTCCAAAGAACCCTGTAAATCTCTGCTTTTTTACTTTCACACATGTTGCATAACCTGTATACTTTCACACACATAGGCACATATGCATCTCTATATAATACACACCTATAAGTCCATCCATACGCATGTACACATGTGCACCTGTACACACATATGCACATACATAGACCCTACAGTCACTGATGTTTCCTACTTCCTTTCTTTTGTAGTAATTGTTTGTTTGTTCCTTTGTTTAGCACACAAGCATTTTTGTTTATTTAAAAATATTTTATTTATTATTTTTATATGTATGAGTGTATTGGCTGTATGTATGTGAATGTTCCTGTGTTGTGCCATACCTGCAAAGGTCAGAAGAGGGTGTCAGATCCCCTGGAACTGGAGTTATGCGTGGTTGTTAGCTGGGTGCTGGGAACCGAACCCAGGACCTCTGCAAGAGTGACCATTTCTCCAGCCCCTCACAAGCATTTTTACCAAACAATACTTTTCTACTACTCTATAACAATGGAATGAACTTTGTTTTAAATAATATGAATATATGCTCAGGTCAGATGTGAGCATGTCACATCTGTAGTAAAGACTACACAATTTGGAGCTAGAGATCGGCTCAGATCCCATCATGTCCTTTGCCTGAATGCCTTGGACAGATTATTTAACCTCTGTGAAGTTCAATTTCCTTATCTGACAAATGAGGCAACAACAATCATCTCATGAAGGTTAAGTGATGAATTAAAGTTAAACTCTCAATGTGTGAAAGCACGTGCTCAATTGCAACTTATTAGATTGGTTCATGTCTGTTTACACATAAATAATCTCTACGTCCTATAAGGAGACAGTATAGTCTATATACAACCCTTTTTAGAAGTACATTTTACACACACACACACACACACACCCGCCCCCACACACACTCCAGATAGTCTGAATCAGTAATCTGATCCTGTGACTAACACCCCTGTTATACATTATCTCTAGTTTTATGAATTCTGACTGCATGACTCCTTCCACCCCAGTACATACAGGCTTGGCTTGCCTTTCTAGTCTACATAAGTAAGTGGTTCTAAGTTAGAGTGCTTCAAAATCCTATGATCCCATGAAAGGATCATTTAAACACATACCATGGACCCCAGTGCTGAGAGCTGCCCAGCTAGTAGGCCTTGAATGGGGCCTGAGAACTTGTACCTGCAGCTGATACTAATGCTGTACATTCGTGGCCCATGCTAGAGAACCTCTGTTCTACGTTCAACTCCTCTCTGTGATCATTAGAATTGCATGCTAGATCTGGGTATGCTCACACACATCTGTAGCACGCAGGAGGCTGATGCAGGAGGATTGCAAATTTGGATCCAGCCTGGACTACCTAGCAAGCTTTCGTCTAAAAAAAATAATAACAACAAAAAGCATGCTGGAGGTTTTGGAGAATAGTTTCAGGGTTGCATCAACTTTCTCTGTGGAACATGGACTTAGTCATTCTTCACGTAGTGTACTTAATAATTATCCAGACCTTCATGTCCTGAGGATCCGGTTAGTTCTGTATAGACAGATGTGACTATATGCTGCCTGATGCTTTGAAGGCATCTTAAAACTTGGGAGCAATTTTCAATGGCTCCTTAATCCTGAAAGAATTTTTTAAAAGAACAATTCAGAAGGTATTAATACTGGTGAGAAAGTTGTGGAAAAACGTCCACTTTTTCCCTTGCTTCGTTCCCTGGCTCCTTTCACACATCACTAATGAGCTCCTGTCTAAATGTTTCAGAGGTGGGTTTTCACCTGTGCAGCCAGAGGCGGGAGTCTGAGGGTCTCTTTGTTCGGACTTCTGGTTCTGATTCTGAAAACAAAAGGCCCCACCCCCCCAAAAAAAAGGGATGGGGAGGGTGAAATGATTTTCATGAAATGAAAGCTGCTTGGACTCCAGGTGAGTGTGAGTTGATAGGAGGCTACTGAGGCACAGCTTCGGAGGGCTCCTCATCCTTCCTACATTGTGGGGCTCACTTTGTTGGGGTTCACTCTGTTTGTGCTCCCTACAACTTACTTTATGCAACTTACTTTAGCATAGGCCCAGGGACCAGCCCTTTCCTTCTTCGTCACCCTCCTGGGGTAGTGCTCAGCCACTTGGATTTCACCTAAGAACTGGGAAGGCAATGCATTTTGTGTTCAAGTCCATCTTGGGACCGACTCCACCTCTGCATATACTGGCTGCTCCCGCAGTGTGAATGAACTTCTGAACTTACAGGCCCAGCACCTTAGAGACTTGGGGCACTATGAACACTGTATTCCTTTAGCATTTCCATTTCTTCTGTGATATTCTAGCCTTCTGCTGTGCAGAGATTTTCCCTGTGGATCATTTGGGCTCTTGAGATCTTGGAAATCAGCTGACAGAGTTGAGTGCCTTATGCTAAATCATATCTCCAATAAACATTTGTTAAATAAACTGACATTCAAATTAGTAGCCAGGCACTTAATGAAATTAATTTTCCTGAAGGCAAGACAGTGTATTTTCAATTCTCTTTCTAGATATATTATCTAGGTGCA